ATACCTTCAGCAAATAACTGGAGCTAAGGTAAGATCCATTTGGTTCACAAAAAAAAAGGTCCCCTTCAATACATAAAAAGTTATTTAGTATTTGTTTTCTAAATCTATAAACATTTTATTCACAAATCATACAACTAGTTGAAAATGTTTAGGAAATTCGAACATTTTTAAAAACTAGTTGATTTATGTTTCAAGAGAAGAAAATTGTGTGTACCCTTGGTGTCGTTGTTTTAATATACTTTGTATACTTTTCATTTCAAAAAAGAAAAAAAGAAAAGTGTCTTACTTCAAGATGAATAGAACCCATATATATATATATATAAAGTAACTTGCTTATGAGATGTAAAGTTATATAGTATAACTATAGTTTAATTAACTCTCATACTCCCATGGTAAAAATGAACAGAAGATAATGCTTTAGCAAACACATTTGCAAGTGATGTTGTAAACGGATAAGCAACAACTTGACAGTTCCTGCGGCTAAATGATCTCAAATAAAGTGACAATCTATTTTAACTTGCTTGGTTTGTTCATGAAATGTAGGATTAGAAGCTATTTGTATTGCAGCTTGATTATCATCAAAAAAAGGTAGTTGGAGCATCTGTGCATTTACCAAAAATCAGTCAACAATTGCTTTATCCAAATCAATCCACTAGTCATAGCTGCTAAGGCACAGTATTCAGCCTCAGCTGACGATTGAGAAACTGGGGTTTGCTTCTTAGTTTTCCATGAAATGAGTAAACCTCCAAAGGAAACACAAAATCCAGAAACAAATTTTCCGGAATCAGGACAGGAACCCCAATCTGCATTAGAGGAAGCTTTAAGCTTAAGAGAGGAAGATGCTGGAAATAGAAGATCTTGATTGGCCTTGGCTTTGAGGTATCTAAGAACTTGATGAACTACCTTAAAGTGAGGTTCACAAGGTTGAGATACAAATTGGCAAAAATTGTGAACAGATAAAACTCGATAAATCAGCCTACCAATCAGTCTTCTATATTGAAAAGGATCAGCAAGTATTGGCCCTCGGTAGCAATAAGAGAAGTCTTAGGATCCATTGGAAGTTATACTGGTTTAAAGGCAAGAAGACTGGCATCTTCAAGCAACTGTAAACTGTAATGTTTTTTTTTTCTTTTGAAATATCAAGTATATAATATAGTATTAATAGTGGCACCAAGGGGGCCCATGTACAGGAAATTTACATTTCAATCAAAGTATCAATAAGATCCCCTAACTCCCCCATTAAATAAGGAGAATGACTCATTAACAAAAAAATCTAAGGTCTGGAATCATCTATTTTTAAGTAAAGTGTAATGTTTTTAAGATAGATTTATTCTTCTTAAAGATCGAGCTATTTCTAGGCAAGAAAATATTTGATATTTCCCAAATTCTTTAACTTGAACTCAGAATAAAGTAAGTCTTTTACCAGGTGAAAAGCTTTAAGAAATGGATTGATTATCATAATATCATCCACGTAGGCTAGGACTGCCACAAATGAATTTCCACCCTTTTGTGCATAAGTAGTAGTCTGACTTTGATTGACAAAAACCAGATTTAACAATTGCTTGAGTGAATCTGGAATTCCATTGTGATGCTTGTTTGAGGTCGTAGATAAAGTTGTGAAGTTTGCAGGCAAGTTTAGTTGAGTGCAAAACATTTTTCTCGTCCTATGTTGCATAACCGTTAGGAAGGTTTATGTATAAGTTCTCAAATAAGTCAATATTAAAAAGGCACTATTGATATCTAGTTGAGCTAGATGCCATCCTTGAGAGGCAGCCAAAGCAAGCAAAATCTTCATAGTTACTAGTTTTGCCACCACAGAGAAAGTCTTCATAAAATCCACTCCTTGTTGTGTATATCCTTTAGCCAATAAACAAGCTTTATATCTTTCAATCGAGCCACTAAAGTTATACTTTATTTTATAAATCCATTTGCAGCCTATTCTATGTTTTCCTGTGGCAGCTTTACCACTGACCAAGTATGAATAGATTCTTTCCTCTAATTCAGCTTTCATAGCCTCACGCCAATGTTTGTGAGGGATTGCTTGGTGGTAGGACTATGGCTCAAAATGAGAGGAAATATCTAATACAAAAGCTTTATAAGACTGAGATAATGAATCATAGTGAATATGATTAGACAGTGGATACATTGTTGTTGTTGCCGAGATTTTGCAAACCAGAAACCTGTTAACACGGAAAATCTTGTAGATAGGAGAGAGGTCTGCTTGATCTAGAAGACTTTTTGACATTAATTTCCTGTGTAGGCTGTAACAAAGCCTCTGAAGATCGTATGAGAACATTAGAATTTGTTTCCAACTTGGAAACTGTACAAATCTTGCAACACAGCATGTACACTTGATGTATCAGCATATGAAAGATGTAAAACCAATTCAGGAATGGATCTTATAAAGCTTTTGTCTGAACTATAGAATGAAAAGGAAATATATCTTCATAAAATATAACATCCCTGGACCCAAAGGTGGCATTATTTTGTATATCATAGAATTTATATCCTTTCATGTTACTTGAGTATCTAACAAAAACACAAGCTTTGCCTCTCAGATCAAACTTCTTTCTTTGAGCAGCTAATGTGGATGCAAACACTAGACAACTAAATACTCTAAAGTTTAAATAATCCACTTTCTTCTTATGCAGAATCTCATAACAAGTTTTGTTGTTCAAGACAGGTGAGGGAGAATGGTTTATCAGGTAAGTTGCCGTAAGTATATACTTTTTCGAATGAGATTGGAACTGTAGAAGAAAATCAGCATCGACAGCAAGAATTTTTATGATTGTTTATGCTGGCAGCTTGGTAATGGAGTTGAAATTAAATTCTGGAAGGATGAGTGGGCTGGTGACTTCAAATTGAAAGATAAATTCCTGAGAATTTTTGAGATTGCTAGTGAGAGGGATGTTCTTGTGGAGAAGGCATTTGAGAAGGAAGGGATGGGTGGGTGGTGTATCCAGGTTAGAAGAAATTTAAAGGATGAAGAAGAGGTAGAATTCTGTAATCTGCTTTGTTGGCTTTGCTGTTTTTAAGGTGAGTAATGTGAAAGACAAAAGAATTTTGGAAACCAGACAAGAAAAGAGGTTTATCAGTGAAGTCCTACTAATAACTTCATTGTCAAAAAATTGGCGAGGAGAATGCCACGACAACACCGTTTAAGCAAATTTGGAGGTCAAAAGCATCGCCCCGAATGGCTTTTTTTCATTTGGGAAGCTATTAAAGAAAAAATCTTGACCGTTGATATGTTGAGAAAAAGAGATATGATAATGGCTAATAGGTGTTACATGTGCAAGGACGAAGAAGAATCATGCAATCACTTGTTACTTCATTGTCCTATAGTCTACAGAATTTGGGAGTATGCGTATGGGATTATAGGGATAAAGTGGGCCATGACGGGTAGCGTTAGCAAGGAGTTGTGAACGTGAGCTGGTTTACATAAAAAAAAAAAATTATTCCTCATTCCGATTTCTATTATGTAGGTTGCTTGGGAGGAGATGAATGTTAGGGGTTTTGAAGGTATTGAAACTGACATTGTATATATTAGGGATAGATGGTTTCATACTCTTGATTCTATTTTGATTGGTCATGACATAATAGATTGGGAAGATATTGGCGCTGTCATGAACTACTTGATTGACTTGTAATTTTGTGTTTTTGGGTGATATTTCTTTAGTACCTTTGTGCATAATAATATTCTTTATCTTTTATTTCAAAAAAAGAGATTAAAACTGTAGACTGAAAAAAAAGGGTTCTGGCAATATTAAAGAGGTGTTCATGTTTTCTTTCTACATTGGATTTTCTAAGGTCTTTCAACACAAGAATATTGATGGTGTACTCCTCTTTGATTTAGAAATTCATCAAGGGCAAACTCTTTTGCATCGTCAGATTCAATTCTCTTAATTTTAGAAATAAATTGAGTATCAATCATATTGAAGAAAAATGGAATCACAGAAGCAACATCAGATTTATGCTTAAGCAAAAATACTCATGTGAACTGTATGTGATCGTCAACTATTGTCAAGAAGCACTGATGTCCATATATTGATGTTCCATGAAAGATACCCCACATATCACAATGTATAAGGTCAAATGAGTTTATAGACATGTGCTTGTGAAATATTAAAGGTAACCTGTGTTGCTTAGTTAATGGATATATGCAACACGGCTCACTACATTTTCAGACATGTTCATCTGTGCTTTCAGAAAGTCCAAGATGGTCAAGCCTTTTGTGCCAAGTCTGCAGAAAACATTTAATACCAGCACGGGTCTTTTATTGTCCATATCTAGAATGTAAAGCTCCTCAACCTATCCTTGCCAATCATCCTCTTGGTGTTGCAGTCTTGAACCAGAAAATGATCAGG